TAACGACCCTCTTTCAATTGATCTTCAAGCAGAAGAATCTTTGTGTCGCGGTCGTCCAAGTTGTTTTATAGACGATCCTTGTGCAGCATCATCTAGTTCAACCTGAATTGGGTCTACAAAGCAGCATAGGATTAGAAGAAAGGGAAACTGAAGAGGACTTGCAAATAAACCTCAATACAAACTTACAGCGAAGAAAGCACCGCGCGGTCGCGCTCGCCAGATGCCTGGTATCGAAGGTAAGAACCGGAGTGCCATTAACTTGGGTATACTTGCTTGGGACCGCAAGTTCCTCCATTATAACATGCATCACATGTTTGACCGCCATAAGATACAAGGACGCTTGAGAAGAGAAGGCCACAGTCGATGTAAGTTCCATCATTTTCTGCTTCTTGGACGGGATATAGGAATCAAGGGGTGTAGGAGGAGTCTCAACAAGGATTCCCTTCATCCTAGCCTGTCCCGAGATTGACCACTTATCCTTTGGAGCGGGAATATCCAACGGCCGTTTAGAGGAGCCCTTGCTCGAAGTAGGTTCAGACAACTTGAGCACTCTTGAGTGGCCAACAACCAACTGTGTCAAGGTCGTCGAGGGAGGAACAGAGGCTGGAGCATTGGGATGGATGGGAGATGGCGGCACAGAGTTAGATGCTCCGCTACTAGGCTTCGGCGGTCGAGCGGAGGATGCATAACGTCGGACATATGCAAAATAAGTCCATAAGTAAAGGACATGAGAAACACGCTCAACAAGAAACGTAGGAACTAACTAACCGTGAAAGTGCCGAACTATCTCCAACGCATAATCATGCCCTTTGGGAGGAAGGCAAAATTGAATCGTCTCCACTATTTTCTTTAGGAGCGGTTTGAAGGGCTCGAGAGATTCAAGATTGGCGTTCCAGTCTTTTCTGTTGCCAATAGCAAACCCCGTGGGAGGTTCTACCTCTCCAGAATACCATTTCCCTTTTGGGTGGGCAAATAAATACTCCTTAAACCAAGGAGAATCTAGCTTGGGAGCCCCATACACAAAGCCAATGCGGTTTGACCGCCTATAGCACGACCGACAGTTATCAAAACTACGCATGGTGTACAATAGGCGGAAAACATCAAAGGAGGGCGTTTCGCCAAGCTTCTTACAGGAAACTTGGAAGGTGATAGAATGAAAAATAATGCCCAGAGATAAGCGACCTAGAGTGAAGTTGAGGTAAAGAAGAGTCTTAGTCAAAATGGGATCAAGCGGGAACTCTAAACACATCCGAATGTGTTCCACATGAATAGGAATCCAACATCCAGGGCAGGATCCGGACCGCCCAACGGGAGAAGGAGCAGGGTAATCCCAATCAGATGGGAGACAATGGTTCTTTAACTGACAAAGAACTTGAGAGGGCTTGTAAACAGCTTCGTTAGGCTGCCCTTGTTCATAGGCGGAGGCAGACACTTCCTCGCCTTCCCACATATCTTAGTTCAATCCCACACGATATGTGGTATCGTCAATGACCTAGAAATCCTCTACTGGAAGCGCATCAGACACCGTTAAGGAGGAAGAGCCGGCCATGTAGTGGGTGTTCTGAACGTTTTCGTGTGACCCGTTCAACCATATGAGGAAAGGGTAATAACAGGAGCGCTGCGAGGCGGTTCGCTTTCTGACTCAGAAAAACTGAAGTCACCAAGGTTGTCATCAATTGTTGAAGATCCCCCCCCCCCCGCATACTTATTGAATCGCCAGTATCGGCCAGAGAGTCCATGCCTACTCCTAAAAGGCCATAATCAAGATCGTCTAAGTTCTCTCTACAGCCAGTGTTCTCAAGGCTGCACACTAAATCTATGTTCTCCAAATTCCATTCTATGTCGCACACACTAAAAGGGGAAGAAAGATGGAGCATACCTTGGGCGATCTGCCAAGTTCCAGAGGATGGACCGCTGGACCCGCCGCCAGTCTTGAGCGAAGAGCGGGGAAGACTCACGCCTGCGCTGGAGGTTCTAACCTCGTCTGAAGGGGTGGCGGCAGGAACGTCGCCGGAGATGTTCTGGTTCTAGCTATCAGAAGGAGTGGTGCTATGAGAAACGATCGCCATTTTGGACCTTCGTTGTTTCTTCTTCGCTCATTTTTTAGATTGCTTAAGCCTATCGAGATAGCTTGCTCGCTCAGCTGAAAGAGGGGGATGGCTTCACATATAGGAAGAGAAGGTGAACTTGTAGCGAGCAATTATGGGAGGATTTTGGGAAATCTCAAAAAAAGGTAAGTAAAAGAAGTGAAGAAGAAGGGTAAATAGTAGATATATATAGGAAAATGGAAGGGGGGCAGTGACGGTTGGGTGATCAAGGGAAAACCCTAGTCTACAATTTAAAAAACGGGTAGCTGAAATGACTCCTAGGTTGACCGTTATCAGAGCTTGATTTTCAAGTCCTGCCACGTGGACAAGCATGCAGCCGATGGTGTGAACCGCGTGAGCCAGACCGCATAAAGTCATAGTTGGGAGGAGCGCGACACTCAGCGGAATGGGAGAAGCATCTAGATAACCTTCCGGTGGGAGATCTGTCTCTCGTGCGGCCAGGGGCAAAGGGCAAGGAGAGCGGTTGGGAACTAGAGACCGCTCAACATTACCGACCCGAGAAATTATAGCTACTAAAACCCAAACTTTTCCTCAACATTACCGACCCGAGAACTAAGGGCCATTGTTAGGACCATAGTTAAGCGGTATTGGGATTTAGAGCCCAAGGAAAGCGAACAGATTTCGGTCGGGCCTAGAAGTATCGCGACTGCAGGCAATAAAGTAGGTTAGGCGGTCGTTCTAGGGACAATACAAGTATAGACCGCCTAACATAAAGCACTCATGGTGACAGGAGGGAGAGATCCTCTAAGATACTTACCTCGAAGTAAGCAGGACTAAGCATTAATTAACCGCCATAGACGGCCTATAATAGGATTAAGGCGCCTGATAGAGCATTTAATGCTCTAAACTTCACCTGACCGGGTATAAATACCTCCACACTAGAATTGATGGTAACTCAACTACTTCCCCTCACTCTAAGCACAAACACATTTTTCAGATTCTCTCTCTAACTTAAGCATTGGAGGGTGTCCCGGGCGACCGCCCACAGACCCTTGTTTTGTAGGGTTCTGGAGCACCACCCACCATCAAGAACAGAAGCCTCGCTCGTGACTCATCAAACTACCTAGTACATTCTAGGCTCAAACAACTAGCTTGTTTGAAAAAAGTACAACAGGCTTCTCGTGCTCTTCCCAACAAATTACTACTTATGATTATCATGTTGTATTTCGGTTTATCCTGTGCTCATGTTTGTTGTTAATAGAACCCTGATTTATGTCATTATTTTTGGTTCTTTGCATCTAGGCTTTGGAAGCCGATAAACAAGTACACTTTTGACATTTGCAGATACTACATTCATGTTGTCAATCAATGGAGAGAGGCCATATCTTATAAGCCTTCAGGGTTCCCAGCTCCTAATTCCACCACCTCTCTGGTATCAAACTGCAAAAGTGAAGTAAGAGGAGTTCGAGCTTGAATTCAGTTTCTTCTCCATAGAAATTCAAAGCACTAGTGTGACGGCAAGAGGTATGGATACAAGAGGAGAGAGATGGATTGATTTGTATGCTTCGAATTGAGGCTGGAAGGAGCGCTGTTGCAGGGAGGTTTCATGTTCGCCCCAAGTTTATTTTGTTGGTATCGATTTACATGTAATTTTTTTTTAATATTAACTGTGGGCTCCATTTTTACATGTTCAAGAAAATGCAGAGAGGAGCTTAGAGCTGCTACTACAATAGCAGTGGGTGGGGATGCTACACTGAGGACTAAATAAAGCAGATTTTGTTGAAGCACATGGAGTTTCAACACAAGAACACCATTTCCCACCTTTCTACGATGGGCTACATTGAGGAGACTACATTGAAAGTGGGTATGTGTATTGAGCTTCCAGTTTGGTTTCTCTGAATTATATGATTGTTTCAGTTCGACGTCTGTTTGTATTGTGTTGTTAAATAATTTCATATGAGATTATTGGTTTGAGTCCAAGTCATTCATCTACTCCCTCTTCGTTGACCGGTTTCACCCAGGGTCGGGTCGGGAGGACCATGTCTCCCCCACAATTGAGGTATGACAGCTGCTTTCTCTGGATCGACGTTGCGTTTCCCGTGCTGTGCGACTACATCTGGAGGCTGGTGGACGAGATGGTGAGACCGGGATGATGGAGGAGATGGAGGAGTCCTACTCGTCGGAGCCGTGCAGCTCACCATCGAAGTGGCTTCACTAGGTAAAGCCACTTCATTCCCTTTCCCCCCACTTCTATCCTTGTTCAACTCTCTGTCTTTAATCAATGGATTGTCAAATTTCCCCTGACAATTGGCCTTCTCGCAATCTCCGATTGAAATGCAGCGGAGGAGAGGCCGCAAATGGGTTCCATCTCGAAGGAGAGGCCGGAGAGGATGGAGTAGCCGGTGATGTTGGCGATATAGGGGGAGAAGGAACGGAGCGGCGAAGGACGAGCAGGCGAGAGAGATAAGAGTTAGGGGTTGCGATTGTTGCGGTGACCGATTCAAACACCATTCAGATCTGGTTGTCGATGGGAATGCAAGAAAATGAAGAACTAGAGAAGATGGTTTCAGATCTGGAATGGGAAAAGGGATAAACCCTTATTTTGTTTGAGTGGTTGGTTCATGGGTAAGTGGGTCGGGTTGGTTCAAGAGTTGGGTTTAGATGGACAAGATGACATGACGAGTTATAGTGACATGACGGGTCGGATTTCACTATTTTTGGGTTAAATTAGATTGACTAGACGATTCCGTCTGTCACGTTAGAACATAACGGTCTTGGTTAACGGAGGCAGACAGAAACTAACGGAGAGTGATCAAATTTGGACGGTTTTACAAATTTTAGTGACCACGAATGAAATTAAATATTTCGAGTGACCAAACAGTGACGTTTTTTATAATCACCATGCAATTAACCCTATATTGTTTTTTTTTGTTAATAATGTAACCTCCGTACGTCGCCGATTCAATTTGAAATAATTTCGTCCGCGCTCACCCAGTACCCGGTACTCTACAGTCTACACTGGCATTGAATGCCCTCCTCATCCCCGCCGACCAGCACCAAACTTCTCAAAATCTCCGGCCGCCTTCCTCAATCTACTCCCACGGTGGTACTCTACCCTTTAACTCTCTCAATCTTTGGGCGATTCATGGTGGAAATTGTTCAAATCCTGTGAAGTTAGGTTTGGGAAGATGACGATTGTAGAGAAGCTCATAGTCCAGATCTTCGAGAGGCACAAGTCGATACTTGAGCAGGTCAGGAAGCAGACTGAACTCTTCGATCAGCATCTCGCTTCCAAATGCGTCCTCGACGGAATCTCCCCTCCTCCATGGCTCTTGTCCCTTTCGCTCGACTCTCTTTCATTGCATCCCAGTGGTGAGTGATTTCTTCGCCGCTGCGCACTGTGAAGTGTTTGAATTTCGTTTGTGCAAATTGCGTGAGGGAGTCGATTTGTCAAGTTTTCGTGGAGATTTCGGACTCCAATTCTAGTTTCCCGGCATTAATGGCATAGAAAAGCTAGGGTATCTGCGAGATTTCAGAGTTAACTATTTTGCATGCAGAGTTTCTGTGGCTTTTCAGATCTAGAAATGGATAGTTTTATCCAAGGGACTGTTCTGAGCGCCAATGCTAGAGAAATTGGCCATCTTTTTGGCACTTTTAGGGGTTAAATTAGTTCCTGGAATTTCTGCCTTGTACATTCGGAAGAGTGATCTACACCCGATTTTCAGTTAGGGATTTCAAGCTATTTGTTTCACTAAGTAATCAGTTTCCAATGAGTAATGAATGGTTAAAGCAGAGGGCTAATTAACATGTCTTCATTTATTTCCTCCATCGTTTTCTCTTTCTTATTGCAATGGGATCTTTTGCAAATTGCTTCAAATTCTGACAGGGTTGAAGAAGGAAGAGCTTATATCTGGGCTCCTGCTTCCACGTTCTCAAGCACCAAGCTTTTACCCTAGTGTTCACCATCCCCATTCCAAAAGGCCTTTTCTCCCCACTTCATCGAAACAAGAAAAGCCTTTTGATCCTGCTGCTAATGAGGTTCAGCCAAACTGCTTGGAAAGGGAGGTTCATGATTTCAACACAGTTAATGATTCAGTAGGACAGTTTTCTGTTCTGTCTCAATTCCCCGCCACTGACACTCCTGGTGCTCTCAACCATGCTCGAGACTCACAAGATCATGATAACTGTACTGATCACAGTCGATCATTGGTGAGGATTGAAAGATCCAAATCGAGGCAAAGGGCGTTGGAGATTCGCAGTAGCGCAAGATCAGCTAAACTACGTGCAAATGATGAGAATGGTGATCCTGGTTCTTGTCAAAATAACGTTCATTCCACAAAAGGAGAAGTGAAAGTGGCCGAATCTTGGAGGAAAGAGGGCAGCAGTGGTCATGATAATGTTAGAATTCAATCTGGTGCACTGTGCCAACTATCCAGTCATATGAATGAGCTTCTTAGTAAGAAAAAATCTTCTGATATTGTGAAGAAAGATTTGCCCAGAGAGTCTACCTGCATGTCAATGCAGCAGTCCAATTATGCTGATCGGATGTCAGAAGCAGCCAATTTTACTATGGCTGCTGATGAAATTTGTGCAACGGAAGAAGTAAACGGTGGTGATTGCATTATCAATGAAGGTGGCAGTTTCATTCATTCTGGTGGAGCTAGAAGCTCAAGACATTCAAGCCTTCAGAATAATGCTTTAAAGGCCGCTTCAGATGAGGTCAAGTCCGTCAATAATGGAGCTAAAGGTGGTAGATTTGAGCATTCCAGTGAAAGATCTTCAAAACAGGCTACTAATGACAACAGGTTACAAGAATCGGCCAAACCCTCTGCAACATTCAGCGGGTCTCACGAACGTTCAAATTTGAAAATGACTGATAACGGGAGCATAGAAATGGGTAGCAATGGTGATTTTGTGAGAGTAACAAGATCTACGAGATCTAACCGATCTCAACAAGGTGATGAATGTGTGCAGCTCAGTTGTCCTATCAATAACGGTAAAGAAGATGGTTGCTATTCAAACAGGATACCCTACCATGTTGATGCCTTAAGGGACTCAATTAAACCTAGGGTTGAGGTGCCTCACTTACAAAGCATGGAAATGAGGGGTGGAATCATGCGAATACCTAAACCAACACAGTCCATAAGCCCCGATTTTCAAAATGATTATGTTTATGATTTGCGGAAAATGTGTGTTTCTTCTAACATGGCTGAAGATGCAGATATTGCAGTTGGAGAGCCCAACAGATTATCACAACTGCTTCTGTCATCTAGGGTGATTGGAAAAGAAGTGAGCTACCCGGAACAAGAGGGTACTCATCCCAATGGCCTGACTGTACGCACCACCATTTTTGACAGTAAAAAATGTGGAGCAGTTCCTGCTGACTCAGGCATTAACTCTCCTGGGCTAGTTGTGGCTGATTCGCTTACTTCAAGATCTAACTCAGGTGCCCATAGCATCGGAGTTACCTCAAGGTCAGAAAGTGAAGATGACATGCTGATGAAGCCCAAGCAACTTGATTTTGATGACATGGAAGTTAACAGAACTTCCATTTCTGATGTCCAGGATGACAATGGTATAATGTCATCAAAACAGTCTCCTGCAGAGAGACGATCTTCCTGTTCATCAACTGAAGTAACTTCTGTTGGCCACATAGAACAGAACAGTTTGTTGCCCAATACGCCATGCCTTAGTGGTTTTGATAGCCAGGAAAAGCCTAGGAAGGATTCATCACAAGATCTTGGCAAGGACACTGTTAACAGTGCTAGTAACATGAACTCTGTACAGGAACAGAATAGTATTGCGTTTGCTCAAAACCCATATTTATGTACTTCTTTCATGGGTTCATGGCCTCAATACAAACGCATGAAGGTTGGTGATAGGCCAAGTTACCCCTGTTCTACTACTTCAAACCTGACAACAGTGCAATTTCAGCCCTTTCCCCAATATAACGTAAGTCCAAGTGCTGAAACATTGTAAAATGCTGTTCCAAATTGTCTTATGACTTACATATCTTAGCTGCAGAAGGCTATCAGCTCAGATGATCACAAGCATCCTGGGGAAGAAATGCTTCAAGACTCGGATAAAAATACAGTAAAGGCACGTGAAGTTTTATCATCTAAGATGCAAGTTAAAGAGGTACTTCTCATGTTTATTGTGAAACTGGCTTATGTAACATGTATCTTGTTAGAAAGATAATTTGTTTGTAGAACTGCGGCCATATATTTTTGGCCCAATTGACTATTCAATTAAACTTAACCTCACAATCCTCTGTAATAAAAGAAAATAAAAAATAGCAACTTCTACATTGCTGTCCCTTTTTGTGTTTAGAAACAAAGTGATTAGATCTGCGATTTTCACAAATTCTATAACTCTCACAATAAGCACCGACTAGTTTAAAGATTTGTAAAGCAAAGGTTAACAATCATTCCAATGCTAGGTGATTGACTCTTGATGTTCATTCTGCTTCTCTGAGGAAATAGGATCTCAGTGTTCTTGGTTCTCTTTTCCTTTCTACTGATCGAGCACCTCTTGTTCAGTTCCTTCTGAATCATGAAAGCTTTAGCCAATGATGGTTGGTTTCCTGCACTCCCTGTGCAAACATGTCCATTCTCATGGTTTTGTCGGGTATTCATACACTGATACACATGCATCATGTGAAGATACTTTTATGTGTTATAGTGGTCAATGGAGCAATTGGGTGGTTTACCCTTTTATTTTATGTTGATCTTACTAATAGAATTACTTCAAGCTACAACATTATTATCTCATAAAGATTAAAGACTCATCTTTTTGTTGATATTTTTCACAAATAGATCATTACTCAGACTTTGCGGAAGAAATTTGACATGAGTTGGTGTCTCCATTTAAATTTTGAAGTGTTTTGTGTTAACAAATTACTCACTCTTTGGACGCTCCAACGAACATAAGTAATCTCAGATTCCGATCCATTCATTTAAATGGATTCAGACCCTTAGGAAGGACTAATTGGACGAGTCACATTAAATACACTTTCTTCATATTTATTACCGGTTGCACTTCCCCCTTTTTAAGTCAGTAACAAACTTTTGCATGACAGGATGAACATACCATGGGAGGGAGGGACAAAAGTGAATATGCAGCTCTCAGTTTTATGCATGAACATCTAGAAGCCAATCCACTCTCTAGTTTGACAAAGCTGTCAACTGGCTCGTCTGAAGGGTATTTTTCCGGGCAGGCCAAAGTGTGGGAGCCAACTGAAATGGCTGGGCTGCAGTTTTCTCATGAAAGCGAAGTTTTTTCACGACAGGTCTCTGAAAGCTTTTATCTGGGAAGATTGGTTACTGAAAGCATCCTGCAGATGACAAACTCTGATGCCGGGGGCACTCACAATCCACCAGTTTATCCAGTTGCCGCCTTAGTTTCTGTGGATTCGACCGCACCTGATGAAAATGGACCAGAGTTGGAGAAATTTGTTGTGGAAACAAATGATAAAGAGCCTTCCACTGCAGGACCTAACTTTTCGGATCCATATAGGCACAACCCTTTCGTTCTAGACCCCCCAACCATCTCGACTAGCCTTTTCGGAAACCTTGCTGAAGATGCTGACGCCAATAAGCAGTTTGAATCCACCAGTTCCAATTACTTGGGTGACCTCAGTGGCTTTACATCTCATGAAATTTACGTGTTTCCTACTGACAGTGCTCCTTTCATTCATGGCAGTAGCAAAGTCTACAGTTCCCCGGTAAGGAAATTCTGGGAACCTATGCCATTAAAGTCTCTGAGTTCAGAGAGACAAGCAAGTTCAATTCCTGATCTTCCCAGTATAAATGAAGAAGAGACTGAGAATATGGATGATGACATAGTTATCACCAGTCCAGAGAATGCAATAAAGATTGTTGAGAGGAAGCCGCTTGTTGACATCATGGAATCTGCAAATCCTCCAGCTTCAATATGTAACGAAGATGATGTAATAGATGATAGATATAGTATTGCTTCTGTGTGCACAGAGTTCAGTGTGGCTGGTAGCGTTTGCAAATTGGAGACTGGGAATCGGAGAATCAGCAGAAGTAGATATGGTTATGCAACTAGCAATAAGGGGAAGTCGAAGCAGCGCCAGCAGCAGCTGAGGGTCCCACTTGGAGTTAAAAGGAGTAATGGTTCTTTACAGAATAGCTTGTTCAGTAAGCCACCAAAGTTGTTGAGGAAGAATGAACCGAGAAAATTTAGCGCTGGTTTACTGGAGAAGGCGCCAAAACATAACAATATTGTGTCAAATGTTACTTCCTTTGTTCCACTGGTGCAACAACAAAAGCGAATGGCTGCTGCTGCTGCTGCTGCTGTTACAGGTAATTTTTCTAGCTTCGACGGATTTATGGTTATTACTCACATTGCCTTCAAAATTTCGAGTTTTGATCCGGTCATGACATAGCATTATGCTAAAATACTTGCAGGAAAGAGGGATATCAAAGTGAAGTCCTTGGAAGCAGCAGAGGCTGCTAAACGACTTGCTGAGAAGAAAGAGAATGATAAAAGGTTGAAGAAGGAAGCTTTGAAACTTGAGCGGCGGGCAAGGATTGAAGAGCAGAACTTGAGGCAGCTAGAGTTGGAGAAAGAAAGGAAAGAAGAACAGAAAAAGGAGGCTGAGATGGCTGCCAAGAAACGGCAGAGAGAAGAAGAACAGAAGAAGGAGAGAGAAAGGAAAAGGAAGCGGATCGAAGATAAAAGAAAGCAGAACATGGAACAGAGAGACAAAATGAATTATGGTGACAAAGAAGAAACCAAGTGTGGAAGAGAAGCTCCGGTATATGATTCCTTTCACTACACAATAGGTAATTAATTTCTCTATTTCACTCAGTTCAGGCTTAAAAGTTTCAGTTTCATTTTCTAGGATGTCAAGGCAAGTAAACTGATGGAGAATGTCGAAGAAGAAAGGATGGTCAAGGCAACTGGGACAACGAATCCCATTGGTTCTGCAGCTTATGATACAAGGAATATGAATTCTGTTGATAATTCGAAGGTAAGGGAATTAATTCGAGTAGCTTTCATTGTTGCTGCATTTTATTATGTTATTTGACTGAGGTCTGGTGCTCTCCTGCTTTTTATTATTATTATACTACAGGATGTTATGGAAAACCAAATATGTGAGGGAAAAGAGAACAACTACAGTCTGGAATCCGACATTGTACCAGCAAGATCATACGAGATTTCACCATACAAAGGTTCCGATGATGAAGATGAAGAAGCTGAGGATGATGATGATGATGATAAGCCCAATACTAAATTTATTCCTTCTTGGTCCAGGTTGGTTTACTTTAGTCTTATCATTTCAGTATCATTGTAGAAATACTCGTACACAATTGTGAAATGCTCAAGTGGTTCAACAATCTTTTGACTATTTAAGGTCGATGAAATCATAGTTACGTGTTAAATGACTAACTGTCCCCACGGACTTGGAATTTTATGGAAAAGTAAACGATGGAATTGGACGTACAGAAAAGCTAAAGGAAGATGGGTCAAGAACGATAATTTAAACTAAACTTCTGAAGGTAGATATTAAAAGTTGATTGAGTGGGTTGATTATTTGTATCAACTGGTGCCAATTAACAAATGGTAGGGTACAAATTTGTGATTGTATATCATGTGCCGTGCAAAAGAAGCATGGGGACTGATATTTCATATGCGGTTCTTCTGCAGAAGAAGGGGCATAACATTTACTATCTTGTCTCAACAAGCAAAGCTAGATCCGGCAACTGTTTTCCCACTTGAAAGCTTTATCAGTAAAGACCAAGGTAAGCTCTTCAATTTCCCTCTCCTTTACGGTTTCAATGCATGCTTTAACCTAAAACCAGTCTTTTCTCCTCCTCTCTCTGCCTCCATTGCTTGACAGCCAAGAATGTAACACAAGGCTGTTTATATTTCCCCTGTAGTTATATTGCCCAGAAAGCTCCGGCACCTATAGGTCACGACGACAACGACAACATATGGTCCAAGTTCAGGTAGATTCGACGCCAAGGAGCCAGAGACTATTCTACGAGGCCTTTTTGTACATCCAACTCCCTTTTTTATTTATTTCACCAGAGCTAGGTAGATGCGATGATATATATTAAGAAAAGTAGTAACTCTCTGCCTTAGAGAGAGGTGACCAAGGGAGAAGGGTTGGCTGCCTAATCTACTTTACTTTTGGAGATTGTCGATGTGCGCTGCTAGGTTAATTGGCTACCAGCCAACTTTCTTGTTGTTGATGCCTAAACAGCAGGAAGATGATTGTAGGTTCTTTTATTATGGCGATGACCAGTTCAACTCGGGAAGCCATTGCTTTCTTCTATCTTGTCACCGCCCCATCAAAAAGTAATGAGTTATGGGAAATCTGATTTGGTTGTTGAATGGTGTAAGTGTCTTCTAGCCAGGAAATTTTGGTGTTTGATATTAATGCTTTGCACCTTTATTTTTTTGGACAACGATTCTAAATATGGTTTAGACCTCTCCGAACAATATTCTAACGAGTGTGTTTGATGTTATTGATGGCTTTTGGGACAAACTAAGTTAAATTATCCTATTCCTATGGATGTTCAGTGAGAGCTCTAAAAACTAAAGGCTATAACTATAGCTACATTGTAGAGAAAAATATAAAATTTGATGTGTTGTCAAATGTTTGGTTGTGCACCCTCTTTTACAATCTTTGTTTTTCCTATTTAAAATAGCTATCGAATGTAATTGCCTTGTTAACTGCTAGCTGGACTGTTGCTCCAACCCTCCTGAGGACTCCTTACTCCATCTTTGTAACCACTAACAAGTCGTCTGCTCCAACTACTTTAGGGACCCCTTGTGACCGCCTTGGTGACCAATGGGTACTGTCACATTGATGTTGACTCCCATCACCTTGTGATAGAACTCTATTTCTAGGGTTCTATCGATTGTGAGGGGTGATTGGGAATTTAGGGATTTGAGGATAAAATTAGGGATTAGAAGATAGAAATCGGGATTGAGATTGGGAACTAGAGGAAGAAGAAGAATAGAAGATAGAATCGGCCGAAGCCTTAGAGGGCTAGAGAAAGAGAAATTAGGAGATAGAGGATTAGGTTATGGGAGAGATACTTTCTGAATAATTGTTCTTGCTTCCTTGATAATGAAATCCATATTACATATTTATAGGAAAGATAGGAAAGCCTAATAATAAACCTAATTCTACTAAAAGACTACTATCCTTATTTGTAAACTAGCTTTTACCCGACCCGTTGGCCGGATGAATTTTTTATTTATTTTTTGTTTCATTTTAATCAATTCCATTTATATTTTCAAAGGATTTAGATTCATTGACAATTTGAAATAAATTTTTGTGTTACTTTTTGATTACGACATTAGTGATAATTAATTCATATTTTTTATCTAGCCATGCGGGTGTAGAAGACTTCTGCCAAATTTGTGCAGGTAGTATTCATTGGCGGATGAGTATCATATTATTTTTTATTATTTTATTTTAATCAATTGATTTATATTATTTGAGGAGATGACTAAATGGGTATGAGAACATCTCGAATTCAGAGTCAACGACCAATAAAATTAAATGATTTAGGGGTATTCTAATTAATTGATTCACAATTTCAAAGTCATTTTTGGGCTATGTATTAATTGTGCCATTAGTGATAATTAGTTCTTTTATATTTTGTTGACCAGATCATCCTATCTTAATGTTGTATGTATATTTTAGAGGAAAATCTTGCACTTGTTATTGTCATCATGAATTGCTTCAAAGGTACTAATTCATAAGACTGTATTATTAACATGATTTTCTATGAGCTCCAAGCGGAAATAAGCAATTATGCAATGAAGTGGTATTTACAAACTTCAAGGAATTCATCAATTGGTAATATGAAAGGATAAAATTCACCTAATACTGTGTTCAAAATTTATGGTCAATAATCATATGAAAATGTGTAAGAAATAGTAAAAACAATGTCGTTCATTAGTATGCTTTTGATTTGCATGCATCAAGATAGTGTCATTCTCTATAAAATAGCTTGCTCTCAAGCAGAAAATGAAGCTCCGCAGCCATCAGAACAGAAAACTTTGATGAAAACACATGCAAGTACTTTGTGAAAGTTAATAACTGGGAATCAAACGTGGAGTTAATAGAAAGGAGTTGTGCTATTATCACTGACCATAATCCCACAAATGACAAAACTAATAAATATAAAAGAAAAGCATCCATAGAAATGTCATACTTGTAGATAAGCAGAAGACTTGTCCATTGCAAACTAAGTCGGATAAAGGCTAATCCTAGGCATAATATTAGTTAACAAAAGCATCGAACAACTTAAGCATAATCAAATCACAGTGATTAATCATGTGCTTCCAAGGTTCAAATTTCACCATGAACTGGTATGTGTTGCATTACATGCAATTGAGGATGTTGAAGAAGTTCTTGTCTCAATAGGGATACTCTCTCGGCTGATGCGATCTGTCTAAACTGGGTATATGGGAACATGATATGAATGTCATTGGTTGGGTGCTCAGTGGTCAAGTGTACAACATAGACGTTTGACTCACTGGACCATGAAATGGTCAAGTCCGTCACTTCTCCAGCAATAATGTATACCTTCTCCTGTGGAATAAACACAATTATACATACGAACACATGGAATGGGGGAAAAAAGGTTGTAAATTGGATTGACAACTTGGCTGAAAAATGTAAAAGTTAGACATCTGACTTTGTCATATTTAAGGAAATTGAGCTCTTGAGCTTAAGCAAAATTCAGTCGCTAAAGCTTCGTCACAAGGCAGGTGTCCAAACACGTGGTTCTCTTCAGTCTTCAGCGTGGTATTCAGCTTTGCCTAATTTTTCAATAAGATAATCCGAACACCAAAAGAAAAACAATCTTAGTGTAAACATCCAATCTAATTCAGCATGAAGAATAAACCATATTATGGAGCTCTGACAATATATAGGTTTATGATCAAAGGTAAGGCTGAAAGGGGTAGGAGGTTTATCATTCGTCATTAAGTGGGTTTGCAGCAGTCAGATGACCAAAACTAAGTTCATTACAAATACAATAGCATAACTTCAAGTTGTTTGATGTATTCATGTTTCACACGTGTCGAATCCATAACAAAGCTAGAGGTTTAAAAGGCATCAGGAACTTTGCATACCCGTTGTCCAAAAAGGTAGCTTTGCTGATTCATCTTGTCAATTACCAATACAACGGATTCGGCAACAAACTGAAATCCTATAATGCTGAAAGCAAATTATATGGCGGAGCCATTACTGTTGATGAATTTCATCAAGCGGAGTTAGTGTCAGAGTGAGCAACTTGATCTAATATGCATTTCAGTTTGGAAATCAAATTGGAACAACTACTACGTCAAGATGAAACATGGGTATGTTAATTAGGAGGCACAAACGAAGCAATTCACAAAACTTATATCTCTATTTACCTCTGCTAGCATAATAGAATGAAGAAAAATGTCGAGTCTATAAGCACTATCCTAGGTTAAATACTAACATTACTGTGCGGGTTCTGTTTCCTCGCCATGTAATGCATGCAAAAAATCATATCTATGCGGGCCGAGTAGGAAGTTTCTGGCCAATTCAGTGTCGGTGGAGGAAATAGCTTAATACAGCAAACCGTCAGCTGAACAACATATACCAAATGCAAACCCACTATCAAACACATCAGTATCCTCAAACTTCTCGTATTCAATCAGCACATATCCCTAGCAAACTAATGAAGTTGTTCCTCATTTTTAGTGACAAACACATCCACTCTCACGTAGCCTAGAAGAAAGAAGATCGGATGAACTTGTTCATACCTTAACAAACCAGTACGACAATCAAGATTCAAATGCAGATTCTTAATCTCTCCGAACTGGCCAATAGCATTTTTCAAGTCATCCTCTTGCGCCTCTTCATGCACACCATTTACCAAAACAATCCATCCTTCAATGGCTGCCAACCAGAGAATTACACAAATCATACATGAATTTTCCCAGTTTGATATAATACACCTTGCAGAAAACACCATAAAAATGTGCATGAAGCCAAACTTCAAGTTCAAACCAGAGACATAGCAATCGGATAATACCAAGTTAGCATCCTAATTGGGAAGCAATTTAGCAAGCCAAGAAGTAAGAGGCAAAGCTCATGACACAAACATATATTTCCACATTACTGTGTAAGCTCTCTATTTCCATGACAGCTCAATTGGCTTATGTTGCACCTCATTGTTCAAAGGACACTCAAATCTAGCTCACTGAAAGCCATATCACACATCCAAATCCCAAATACACTAAGAACCTAGACTTCAAATATACAGAAACCCTCCAAAATTCCCATTTCAAGCTACAAACAAACACTGAAAATACCAATCTAAGAGGCTAAAGGTTAGGGAAAGGCATGTTAAAAGAACCAAGTTTTTGAATGACGCCTAGAGAATGGATGAAAAGAATTGATGGTCGATGGCTAGAAAAAATTGGAAAGATGATGAGAAACAGTAAGAACCTCTTTGATGAAATGGTATTGACTTAACCACTTACTCAGTAGAACGTATATAGAGAGCTTACCAAGTCTAATAGCTTGGTTTAAATCTTCATCTAGCTCCATATATATTGTTATTTCCAAGAGAGAGGCAAGAATAAAGAACCCAATAGTCATTTGTTACTTATGCACAAGAGGAAGAAGTACTACTAACCTGAATTTAGACCAGCCGACATTACTATAGATGCAGCTGAATTCACAACAGCATCATAGTGTGAGGGCGTCACCTCTTATCTACAGAAAATCGTAGAGTAGATGCATTACAATCCTAGCAATCAACATCTAGTGATGAATCACATCATGTGAAGGAGCAAATATTACAATAAAAATGCAAAATCAAGCAAGACTCTGTCATTGATAAGTGATAACTGGAGTAATACATACCACAGCTCCAATGCACATCACTACATTGTAGTCCCTGACTTGCCCAGCCTTTCTGCGGCTAAACATATTTCAAAACAACCAGGAAACCACACAACCTGGAAGTAATGTGAAACTTGAAGAGATGGATAGATAGTAATCGAGACAAAGAAAGAAGTGAAGAGAAGATTGGTGACTGCAGGAGTTGATTATCATACATCAATATCTTCTTCATTGAGGTAATAACTTCGGAAAGTTTTGGTTGCTCCATCAATTTCAATTCTGAACAGAAAACGACTATGAAGGAGAGTAAAGAAATCACCAACTAAAACCAAACTGGACTTCAGCTACAACTATAAATAGTAAATTGGATATTATTATGATTCGAGTCCAATTCCAACTTACTCTAAGCACGCATTCTTTTCCTTCTCCTTAATCCTAACTTCATATTTACAACAAATTTGAGCCCCAACTTCCTCTATTTCCTTTTGACAGTCATAATTTAACATCATCTTCT